GCCCTCTCGCAGTCTGGGACCCCTCGGGAGATAACGACCTGCTGGCTTAGGCCTGCTCCCAGGTGGCAGAGGGCAGGCCCAATCCCTAGGTGCATCCCCTGGTCGGGCTCAGAGCAGGGCCGACTGGGGAGTTGGGGCGCCGCCCCATCATGCACAGAGCAGGGCAGATTGGGAGGTTGCAATGCCACCCTCAGTCACGATCAGGGTAGGGCTGATTGGGGGGTTGGGGCACCGCCCCCTGTCACACTCAAGGCAGGGTCGATGGGGAGGTTGCGGCGCCCCCCCCGTCACGCACAGAGCAGGGCCAGTCAGGGGGTTGGGGAGCTCTCCCCTATCAGGCACAGAGCAGGGCTGATCAGGGGGTTTGGGCGCTGCCCCCTGTCACGCTGATCCCGGTGCCGTGAGGCCTCTCGGCTCCGCTGATCCCAGTGCTGGGAGGCATATTGCCCTTTTACTATATAGGATAGAGGCCTGGTGCATGGGTGGGGGCCAGCTGGTTTGCCCTGAAGGGTGTCCTGGATCAGGATGGGGGTCCCCACTGGGGTGCCTGGCCAGCTTGGATGAGGGGATGATGGCTGTTTGCAGCTGCTCACACACCCTTCAGGGTGGGGGTCCCTACTGGGGTGCCTGGCCAATCTGGGTGAGGGGCTGAGGGCTGTTTTCAGGCTGGCGGGTGACTGAAGCTCCCAACCGCTCCTTTTTTTTATTTTTTTTATTCTGGGCCAGCTTTAGCTCTGAGGCTTGGCTCCAGCTCTTAGACCTCAGCTGCTGAAAGCAGGTATCTGATTTGTTTGGGTTCTATAATCTAAACACTGTTTCAACTCCAGCTCTGAGATCCCTGCTGGCTGAAAGCAGGTTTCTGGGGTTTTGTTTAGCTTCTGTAATTGTAACAATGTTTCAAACTGCAAGCTCAGAGGCCCGCAGCGGCAGGAGGGGAACGTTGGATTCCTCCGTCACTGAAGCAAGCAAGCCTCATGTTCGCTTCAAGCTGCCTGGCTGCCGGCCACCACCTTGCCTGGCAGTTAATTTGCATACCGCCCTGATTAGCCAATGGGAAGGGTAGCGGAGTGACACCAATTTGCATGTTTCTCTTTTATTAGTGTAGATTGTATTTATTATTATTAACCTACTTTTGCTCACTCTTATAGTCCAGTAGAAGAAAAAATACATATGATGCCCTGATAATAAAGTCACATGTAACAATATAGCATGCCTTCATCATCACATACTTTAAAGGAAATAATTCCCTAATAAACCGATAATAAATTGTCAAATACTAAGTTTGAAAACATTAATAATATGTGCTATATTAATAAGTGCCATAGTCAAAATACACTAAAATAAGACTCTGTAAAAGTAAAACCACAAATAAATGACCTAGCTTGTGAATTTCTTAATTTAAGAATTAGATTAAGTGATACTTGAAACCAAGAGAAATTTAGGCTATCAAAATTGTTGCCAAAGCTGGTTTGGCTCAGTGGATAGAGCGTCGGCCTGTGGACTGGAGGGTCCCGGGTTCAATTCCGGTCAAGGGCATGTACCTGGGTTGCGGGCGCGTCCCCGGTGGGGGATGTGCAGGAGGCAGCTGATCGATGTTTCTCTCTCATCGATGTTTCTGGCTCTCTATCTCTCTGCCTTCCTCTCTGTAAAAAAATCAATAAACTATATTAAAAAAAAAATTGTTCATACTATGTTGAGCTGCCTTGTTCCATCTTGGAATTAGGACAGAGACAAATCTAATGGAGAGTCATTAAACTGAGAAAGATAGAAGACAAGCATTAACAGTAACTGTGGTAAAAGCCCACTGCCTGCCTTCCTCTCCTCATTGCTCCCTGTGCTATCCTCTATGCTGATGGGCAGGGAGCCTGATGGGATGCTGGGTGAGCTTGGCTCTTTGATGGCAGGAAGTTTCTGGCCACCATGACTGGATCTATGATTTCTACTACTGAGTGAGTGGCCCTTTTCCCCCACTAATTTACTCTTTTGTAATGAGTGAGTTAATTTTTTATTTTGTTTTCAGATATGGCTCACAGGCTAGATTTGAAGGTAAATGTTACTTTATCAGACACTAAATGGCCTTATTTTTACACATTCTTTCTTCAAAGGGGTATTTATAGGGCTCAGGCCCCCAGGAGACTAGTGGGAGGGGAGGGTAGTGGATTTCAGCCTGAGGCACTTATTTGCTTGAGAAAAAATGCCAGATGAGTGGTTTCAAAAAGCTCAGGCTGCTGATGTGGGTAGAGGATTAAAGGGAACAATTTCTCCTCTCCTTTATAAATACCTGCTGGAGAGCTAATGGGATTTTGTGTGCATGTGTATTTCCTTTTTCAATTGGGGAAACTAAAAGTCATACTGGAACATCCTGTGATAAAATATGTGAGGTAGAGGCTGAGGGAACAGATAGATGAAGTAGAAGAAATGTGCCCCAGGTCTGTGGCATGTTGTATTATCACCAGACTTGGCATGTTATTGGTCTACTAGTGATTAAATACAGGAATATGTGGGGCATAAATAAATACCTATCTCATCAGCAGCTTTTAGCAAAAATAGCACTCTTTCCTATCAAAGAAACTAAATGCTTTCACAAGCTTAAATTTTATTTTATTTTCAATTAGTACACACCCTGGAAGAATTTCAGGCTATTTCAAATACTCATGCTTCTGAATAAACAGAGCCTTCATTGCATTACTTAAATAGTAAGATAAATGCCTCTCCAATTCAAAATCTGTTAATATGATTAGGTGCCTGCATTAAGTGAGACTGGGAATAGTTTAAATCTGAGTTTCCAAGATAAGAAAAAAAAGGAAAGATTTCAACTGTAATCGTTGATTCTGTGGAAAATAGGAATGTAGAAATTTTGAGCATAATTATCTTTGTTCTCAATATTATCTCTTGAAAAGGAAGCTTAGTATAGCTCAAATAATAGAATTGTCTTATTAACATTTTAATTTACCAATCCTCACTTTATGAAATTACATATTAATGAATATTTTATAACCACGAATTAAATCCCAAATTATTTACTTGCCACCTTTTGATAAATTGAGTTCTCTTTTCAGGAGGTAGTGTCTTTGAAGAAAGCTCTCCCAGCAGGCACCAGGAAGCAGGGCTTCTCCTTCTCTATCCAGAAGGCTTCTGTGGATGTGACAGGGTGCAGGAGGGGTTTGAGAGGACAGACAGGCTAGTAGTCCTAGATTCTCCTACCACTATCCCCAGAGATCAGGAGAGAGGGCCAGGGTAAGCCCATCACCCTTATTCTCGCCTGCCATCCTAACAGGAGGGAGTGAAGAGCTAGCTGGTCCTTCTAGTGCCAGGAACACCCACCCCCACCCCCATAGGGCTCTCAATCTCCTCTCCTCTGCTGGACCCTCATAGAGAAAGTCCTCTCATTCTTATGCTCCTCTCTGGGAATAGCTTTCTCTTTGGGCCTGGGCAGTAGTGAGAAGATGCGGCCGTATCTTTTCTTGCTAAAACCTCATTACTTGGGCATTGGAGACCAGGAGCAGGAGAGGTGTCAGGGTGGTTACAACAGAGTACCCATATTTGGAAGGTTCTTTCAAGAGAACACCTGTTTTTTATGAGCCCAGTAGCTAGAGATACCCTTTGGCTAACCAGATCCCTCCACTCTCATATGGTATGGGGGAATGACAGAGTAAAACCTTTACACATACAGAAAAATGCCCAGATCATAAATGTACATCTTAATGAATTTTCACAAAAGAAGCATCCATATAACCAGTATCCAGATGAAGTTTAGTTTTTTATGATATTAGAGGCCTGGTGCATGAAATTTGTGTATGGGTAAGGTCCCTAGGCCTGGCTGACAATCAGGGCTGATCTGTGGGGCGACTGCTGGGGCAGTTGGGGGCGGGTCCTGCTCACACCCACCTTGGCTGCCTTGGGGCCTGCGGCCTTGGGGCAGCTCCTGCATTGAGCATCTTCCCCGTGGTGGCCAGTGCACGTCATAGCAACCAGACTTTCCGCCATTCAGTCGATTTGCATATTAGACTTTTATTATATAGGATATGTTTCCTAATTATAAAAGCACTTTGTAGTCATTTTGGAAAATTCAGCAAAATGTAGTAAGGAAAATAAACTCCACTCATTGTACCTCCTCCCCCCCAAATGACCACTGGTAACAATCTATGTGTTTGCAGTCCATCTGTCTGTCTCATGCCCTTGCACACACCGATGTTATATGCACCCATAAATACATGCATACAGTACCACAGCCTCTGAAGCTTTACACACAGAAGTTCTAAGTAGGTGCAATCCATGACATACAAGAGAGTTTTATGTTTACTGTCTGGTTGTTGACTTCATCAGTAGCATGGCCAGAAAAGAAAGGGAAGCTGAAAACCATCTGTCTCCTTACTTGATACCAGGAAAGGGGCCGCTTGTGAGGGAGGAGATAAAATAAGTCACTGCCATATATGTGTGGATGATTCTTAGACTTAATTTCTTCAATATTTTCCCACCTCTCAGAAAACTCAGCAATAATGTTTTTTTTAAGTAGCTCTCTTGCACATACCTAAGCAAACAGCCACAGTGAGTCAAAACGTTGGAAATTGGCTGGTGGTTTTGTGAGTTTCAGGAAAATGATCTCTCCATTATTACTAAAATAGGTGAGACAATGCCTTTGGTACTCTCAGGATTTCCTGATCACATTGTCAGGAAGATGACAGTTGGCACCTGCTTCCTGTTGCTATTGGTGATGCAGGGCATGTTGCCCACCTGTCCCCTGGCTGGCCATGGACTCAGCTTCTGCAGGGGTTCCTTGTGCTTACCTCAGAACAGCTATGCCTCTCTTTTTGTAAAATATATTTTCTTGTCTTATACATAGGAGTTTGGAGTTATTACATATACAGAAACTTTATTGGATTTTCATATTTGTTAAGTGTCTTTTCAGCTCACTCTTTTTCTCCTTGCTTGTGAAAAAGATTCACAAATGGTATGGAGTGTCCTGTATGTTCACATGTGCCCTTGTATTGTCTTTTCAGTCGAAATCAGCTGTCCACCCTGCCCGCCTGCCTGTGTGGTCTGCCTCTCAAAGTCTTAATTGCAAGTAACAACAAACTTGGATCGCTGCCAGAAGAGATTGGTCAGCTCAAACAGTTAATGGAGTTGGTATGTACTGATTTTTATGGTGCTTGCTTACTAATCATAGTTAGCTGAAGTGGTCAGAAAAACTTGCTATGGTTGGACAGAGAGGAACTGAGCCTATCCTATATAATAAAAGCTTAATATGCAAATTGTCCCCTCTGGCAGTCATTCAACCCAGAGTTCAACCTCTCGCTATGACTACCAGGGGGCAGCGCACAACATGGCAGGTGTCTGCAATGTGCTGCAACCTCTTGCTGGCTACCTGGAGGCAGGGATGACACCGGAGGTGCGGTGAGAATGGGGAGTGTCCTCTGAGCTCTCTCTCACTCCCCCTGCTACCCTCCCCTGGGATGCCAGGGATCATGTGCAAGGAAGCACCCCCCCCACACACTTTAGGTGCTGGGCACCTGCGAGAAGCCTGTCTCGCACCCGTGTGGCATCTTCCAGGTGAGCCGGGCTGCAGCCTCCAGGACCACAGGGCCAGTCAGGCTTCCGGTGAGTACGCGCAGGAGCCAGTCTGCAAGGCCAGTCAGGAGAGAGCACGCTGCCTGCCCGGCTTCCGTGCAGCGCTGCTGGGCGGCCCAGAGGCCCATATTGCACCCCAGTCTGTGGCACGCTTACTTCATCTCTGCGTGGGGACTCGGGTGCTGTGACTCAGGTGGAGGGGGTGCCCGGCGGCCCAGGTGCTGCTTAAGGCCCAGAGGTCAGCTGGGACCTGCCCTTCCATGCCAGACGCTTGTGCTTCGATTGCTGGCCAGGCCTAGGGACCACACCTGTGCCTCTATGTTATTGATAAAGACATTAAGAAGGGAGAGGAGTAACCTTGGCTTTGTTGTAACAAACATACTTTCTGAAAGTTACAGATTTTCTGTAGTTCACACTTCCTTAAGTTTACATGTTTTACAGCTCCTGAAGTTTACAGGTTATCATGTGGTAGTTAGATCATTTTTTTCACAATGAAAATAAGTTTGTGATAAATTATGGGTAAACAAAAACTAATCTACAAATAGGTTAATAGGCCCCACTTTCTGAATGTATATATATAAGTCACAAGACAGAAATAACAGCGTGCCCTGATTCTGTAAGGATTTGAGCAACCATGCTCTAGAGCAGTGGTCGCCAACCTTTCCAACCTCCGCGGACCACTGGTTGGTGACTGCTGCCCTAAATCAATGTAACTTTAAAATGTGACCCTATCCCCAGGGATAAAAAAGAAGAACAAGACACAGACGGGCAGAGATGGGTTTGTAAGTGTGTACCTGAGGGTGAGGTGCACTACTGTATTTCAGCTCTTTCTGTACCTATTTAATTACTTACCTTGTTTCTTAGAGTGTGAAAGAATGAATCCTTTCTAGACTTCCATTGAGCTAAAATGGGTGAAGGCAGAAGCAAGAATGAGCAATCAGGTTAAAACAATAGTCACAATTTAGCCTCCAAGCAAGCATTATTTCACACTGACCTTGTGTCAAACACAGAGCAAAATATTGTGATTCCAACCATGGAAAGGACACGGTACCTTCTTGCAAGTAGATGCCAGTCTAGAACATTGATGACCAATAACTTTTCTTTTGTGTGCCAACTCAGTTAATTTCTTTGGGGCCACCTGGAATCCTGTTGTGATGGCTTGTGAGGCCCGATAGAGTGCTGTGATCACTTAGTCATGTCTGCTTCGAGAATTGGCTGGGAAAGTGACAGCACCCGTGTCACGTGTGTATCCACTTTGACTTTAGTATAGAAATGAGTGTATCAAATGCTGTATCAAGGCATCAGAGCTACTTAAAACAGGACTTATGTGATAGCAGACTCTGAAACCCATTCCAGCTTCCTCAGACTAAGAGCTGGGATTGGTTATAGAGATGCAGAGGTCTTCCCATCACTCAGTATCAGGACATTTGATCAGGGATCATGAAATGACTAGAACAAGACACTGGAAAGTTGTCCAGAACTGTGGCCATGGTTTACTTTTATGACTTTCTCTACTTCTGCATACAATAGAGAAGTTGCCTAGCTCACAGATTCCAAGTGTACTAGTAAATGTCCTTCCAGCCAAAGCACTTAGCAGGGACCTACTAGCAGGTCTCAGCCCTGGTTTCTAAGTGAGAGGCAAGATCTGAGTCTCATGTCCTCTCCTGACTCAGTCAGCAATACCCAAGGCACATGATCACATTGCCCTAACCTGACTGCTCAGCTGCAACCAACGGGGGCAGTTCTGAAAGAAGTTGGTTATTAAGTTGGATCCTCTCACCCCAAAGTCTATTACAAGAAGTGTGCTTACAGGGTAGGGAATGATTGATTAGTCTTGGGGCTGGGAAAGGTTTTAAGGGAAGAGACCTTTGGGAGGTTCCTTACATTACTCCACGTATCAAACAGAGTGAAATATTGTGATTCCAACCATGGAAAGGACACGGTGCCTTCCTGCAAGTAGATGCCAGTCTAGAAGATTGATGACCAATCACTTTTCTTTTGTGTGCCAACTCCAGTTAATTTCTTTGGGGCCAGAAATCCATGTGGGATTTCTGAGATGAAAATAAGAAGGCAGAGACAGGAAGGCCTTCAAGAAGGAGGGATGACTTGTGCAAAGACAGGACAGTATGGTACTACAGGGCATGCTTGGGCAGTAGGAAGCAGTTTAATCCTCCCGAGACGAGGTAGAATGGGACGACTGCCGCAGGTTTAGGCCACCATTATCAGCTCCTTCGCAGGGTATCCAAGGCCCACCTTGGTCTGGCCCCTGCTTCCCGCTCAGGTTCATCTCTTGCCCTTAGTCCCTTCACCCTCTAAATTGCAGTCTTCTGGTGATGCACCTCGTTCATTTTCAGTTCTGTCCTATAGAGCATGGACTGTTTCTTCCTCTTCCTCGTTTGGTCAGTTTTTAGACCTCACTTAAATCTCACTTTCTCCAAAATGCCTTCCCACGTCCTGAGCTAGGTGCTTTTAAGACAAGCTCCCAAAACTTACCATCCAATTTTCACAGAGTCACATTTGTCATCTTACTTGGTATTCTCCACACCTTGAAAACTGCTTAAGGACAAGGGGCGTATATTGCTGTTGTATCTGGTGCCTGGCACATGATAGACACCGAAAAATGTTTGCTGCATGCTGCTGTCAAATGGTGGAACGTGGGCCATGAAGGTGGCTTGGTGCAGACTCCCAAGTACTTTACTGGGTTGGGGGGACTCTATCTCTCAGTCCAGGTTAATTCAGAAGGTGCCATTTTAACAGAAAACAAACAAATATAGAATAATGCTTTGGATGAAACTGATAGTTATATGTTGTCTTTTTAATGCTTCTTTCAGGAGCCTGATAAATATAATATACAAATTGTTGTTGTTTGCTACTTTTTGGCTCCTGACTGATGAAGTCAGCGTTCTGGACCCTTTTGGCAACCAGAATGTTTCAGTCCCACTGCACCCTGTGCTTCAGCCCACAGCGAGCCAGCCATCAGCTGTGCCTAGAAGTACGGACAGCTCTGTTAATAGGTGGCACAAGTGCTGAGCCCTGGAGCCACCCAGGTCAGAGCAGGGCTTTCCGTCAGTTTGCGGGGCTGGCAGAGGAAGTACAACAGCACCGTCTGCAGCCTTGAGACACACAGGCTGCTGGTTGGGTGGAAGAGACACCCTGAGCTTTTCTTAGGCACCTTGTCTGGAGCCAGCCCTAACGTAGGCTGCCCTGCCTCTTAGTTACAGCAGTCATCAACCAGTCCTCGTGAATTTTCTCTACCAGCAACAACTATTGAACCCTGGAGTTCTGGAATGCTAGAGCCATAGAGGTTTTAAAAGACATCTAATCCAAGGTGTTGACATTTTACAAATGATGAAACTGAGGCAGGGAGATGTATAGAGCATCACCCTGGTGTAGTCAACTTAGAACTTCAGTTGAAACACCCTCACCCAGCAAGCAGCAGATGCAATTTTGTTTTATTTATTTATAAAATGTGTTTTTATTGATTTTTAGAGAGAAATGAGGGGAGAGAGATAGAAACATCAATGAGAAAGAAACATCGATCGGCTGCCTCAGCAGATGTACCAATAATTTTAAATGTACTAGTAACTACATTTAAAAAAATATATAAGCAAACAAACTCTAATAATATATTTTAACCCAAGATAGCCAAGATATAATGTCACATGTGTACAATGTAACATTAATGAGGTGTTTTGTATTCTTTGTTTGTATTAAGTCTTTGCAGTCCAGTGTGTGTTTACACTTGCAGCACAGCATGGATGGGACTGGCCACATTCTCATGCCCAGTAGCCACATGTGGTGACTACCCTACTGGAAGGGCAGCCTGTGTTTTTTCTACTCTGTGTGTAAGCAAGCTAGATCTTTGTAAAAAAAAAAAAAAAAAAAAAAAAAAAAAAAAAAAAGCATTTCTTTGTGAAGTTGGTAAAAATTCAATAAGTTGCCATTATTTAACCACAAAGGGTAACTAGCCTTGCTAAAGGTCACAGACTAAAAAAAAATTTAGTTCTCGTTCCTTCTTATCTGTAATCTTTTTGCTTAAAATAGTAGTATTACTGTAGGTAATCAGATGTTTTTTAGCTATCAACTAGAAGAAAATTCCCAGGAGAGCCTAAAGTAAGTCTAGGGTTATGTGGGTGGCTTCTGTTTTGTGCTACATAGTAACCAATTTACAAAAAAATATGGGAGCTCCCCAAGCACTTAGAGTACCTTAAGCCACCACCGTGCTGAAAAAATCTCTCGGTTTATGGGCTCAGCATTGTTTAAGTATTTTGAAGGAAATCATTTTAAAATTTTCACATTAGACTCAGAGTCTCCTAAATTGAGTTGTAAACTCTTTTTTTCTTCCGAGTATTTGTGGAACATTCTAGAATCATTTGCTTAAAAAACAAACACAAAAGCACTATAGCCATCTACAAGAAGGGAGTTGTCCTTTCTAATTTTTGAGAGAAATTGGGGTTGGAAAAAATATCTGACCATCTATGTGTGCTTCCTATGATGGGAAGAGATTACTAAGCACCTACTGTATGCCAGGCACTCTGCTAAGTGCGTGATGTGTTACT